ATCCATTGTTGCTTTGATAATCCTTATGCAAAGATTCATATAAATGTCTTTTGGATATCTTGGATAACAACTAGTTTGCCCTCTTTCATATAGCAGATGTTCATTATTAATTACACTGTTGAAAATGGATAGTGCTGTCAGTAGTACTTACAAAGCTAAGGTACTGGTCAGCACAGTTTCAGTGATGATACAGGAACTTAGAAGTACTGGTGACTGGCATAGAGTTTGTACCAGCAAGACCCTGAGCATAGAGCAGGGCTTCCTGGTAAAGATGATAGAATATCTGAAGTTGGAAGGGACCCATAAGAATCATCAAGTTCAACTCCCTTCTTGTTGCAAGACTACCTGAAACTAAACGACATGACTAAGAGAGAGCATCATCCAAATGCGCCTTGACAGGCTTGATGCTTGACCAACTCTGACTGGTTGGTACCTCTCTACACTCGAAGGAGTCTGCAACTCCTCCTAATTTAGCATCATTGGTGAACTTAATGTACATTCAGATCCTCCATCCAGGTCATTTATAAAAACATTAAAGAGCACTGGCCCTAAAATTGAGCCCTGCAAAACCCTAGTGACAAGATGAACCTAAGCAAAGCTAACATAAGCTTAGCTTCTGCTTTTGCACCAGGATTTTGTGCATTTCACTCTGGTTGTTATTCCTTGCCAGCACCAGCAAATATATATGTACTGCAAACAATTTATGAGCTGCAACTGCAGCCTGTGTGGGATTCTGATCACCGGGTTATACCCAGGCAGCAGCCAAATCTGTAACTCGTGAACTCTGCTGAATTAGGCAGTGTTCCCAGTGACAAAACTAATCGTTTTTGCAACAAAGTTCATCTAAACTCATCATGCATTATGTGTATAGACTGTACAATTTGTACCATAGTAGGGACATGTTTTGTAGTATATCAGTGTTTGTTCAATGGGGAGACCTTTGACAGAAAAACAGCTGATCATGAGGCAGATTCCTGCTTTACCTTTTCATGCAAAAGAAAAGGTGATGTTTGACTGGAAGCTTCTACGTCAGGAAGTAAGACTCAGAAAACATACCTGTCAACTGGTAGGCAAAGGGCCAGGTCTTTCTGCCTTGTCAAACAGTCTTCTCACTGCCAAAACTGTAGATTTTCTGCCTTTGTTTCTTGTTGAGTATAGTGCTCTTTTGCTGACCCCAACTCAACCACTTTCAAAATCTAAGTGCCTTAATCTTGAAACAAATACGAAGCCAAACTCCAGCCATTCTATAAATCCATGAGTAGCATGTACCTTGTAACCCATCAGTTGTCCTTAATTTTGGCCAGCAATTAAGTTCTCTTCTTCCCCCACATCTCGTTTTCTTGGAATACATTTCTTTTGCAGCCTTGTTGCTCTACACCATCGTCAAAGCAGGATTTTTAACGAGTTGTAATGTCCAATTCTCTTACAGGAAGGTCAGAAAAAATAGGGGCCATCTAAGCCGCCTGTCTCAGTTGTTATCAAAGCTGGACATGGGGGTACCCTGCAAGGTTTTAATAATAACTTTCTATATCAATCCGTGGGCAGTGATTGCTTAGTAACCAGTAGATCTCAAGTGCTGATTTTGCTGGATGCTTCTTGCTTCTAGCATCAGCCTACTTACTGGCTTTTTACTTTTTTGATTTAACTTTCACACTGGGGAGGAGGAATCAAGGAAGGAGGACTACAAACTTTCCTAGGCAAACAAGATTAAGCCCTGCTTCTGCAGTTAAGAGCAGCTTTCTGGTATGTGCCAGCAGTGAGTTATGCAAAGATGCTGTCACAGGGCAGAGAGGCAACTGGTGATGGGATTGTAGAAGGAAGGTGTCGAAGAGTGGAGGAAAGATTGCCCTTCTGGTGCCACAAGATGGAGTGTATGCTCAGTTCTTCCTGCACACAGTTCGTCAGCCTCACCTCAATGTCCAGTAAGGTGATGGAACATATCCTCCTGGAAGTTCCATCAAAACATGGAAAGTGGGGACATGATTAGAGACATCCAGCATGGTTCCACCAAGGGCAAGTCATGCCTGACTGATCTAGTGACCTTCTATGATGGAGTGACTGTATCAGTGGACAAGGGAAGAGCTACAGAGGTCATCTACCTGGACTTCTGTAAAGACTTTGACATGGTCCCACACAACATCCTTCCTGCTAAATTGGAGATAAGGATTTGATGAATATTCTATTTGATGGATAAAGAATTGGCTGTGTGACCATGTCCATAGGGTTACAGTCAATGGTTCAATGTTCAAGTGAAAACTAGTAATGAGTGGTGTCCCTCCGTGGATAATACTGGGACCAATACTATCTGATATCTTCAACACTGACATAAACAGTGGGATTGAGTGGAACCTCAGCAACTTTGTGATGACACCAAGCTGAGCAGTACAGTTGATCGATAGGCTTGCAGGAAGGGATGCTATCCAGGGAGACCTTGACAGGCTTGAGGAGTGGGTCCATGTCAACCTCGTGAAGTTCAACAGGGCCAGTTGCCAAGTCCTGCATCTGGGTGAGTCTCATCCCAAAAATTGGGATAGACTGGGGGATGAATGGTTTGAATGCAACCCTGCAGAGAAAGACTTGAGGATGCTGGGGGATGAAAAATTAGATATGAGCTGTCAATGTGCACCTGCAGCCCAGAAAGCCAGTCATATCCTGGGCTACATCAAGAGAAGCGGAAAACCACTTCCAGAAGTTGGAAGAGATCCCACCACTTTGCTGGGAGGTCTGGCAAAGAGACAGCAGGAACAAGTAGAGGATTTTTTCCATAATGTTTCCAGTATCTCCCTCATTTTTTGTAGCTATTTATCCCTCACCTCACCCTTACTTCCTTATTTCTTCTTACACTTCATATGTGACATTTTAATAGCTTTCACACACACATCCCAGTAATGACGAGTGGACTGAAAGCAGGTCTGTGAAGAAGGACTTTGGAGGTATCAGTGAATGGGAAACTGAATATGAGCCAGCAATGTGCGCTTGCAGCCCAGAAAGCCAACTGTATCCTGGGCTGCATCAAGAGAAGTGTGGCCAGCAGGTCAAGGGAGGGGATTCTCCCCCTCTACTCCACTCTTGAGAGACCCCACCTGGAGTATTGTGTCCAGGTCTGGGACCCCCAACATGAGAAGGACATGGACCTACTTGAGTGAGTCCAGAGGAGGGCCATGAAGATGATGAGGGGGCTGGAGCACCTCCCTTACGAGGACAGGCTGAGAGAGTTGGGGTTGTTCAGCTCAGAGATGAGAAGACTCTGGGGAGACCTTATAGTAGCCTTCCAGTATGTAAAGGGAATCTACAGGAAGGATGGGGAGGGACTCAGGTAGTAATAGGATGAGGGGTAATGGTTTTAAACTGAAAGAGTGTAGATTTAGATTAGACATAAGGAAGAAATTCTTTCCTGTAAGGGTGGTGAGACACTGGAAGAGGTTGCCCAGAGAAGTTGTGGCTGCCCCCTCCTTAGGAGTGCTCAAGTCCAGGTGAAATAGGGCTTTGAGCAACCTGGTCTAGTGGAAATTGTGCCTTCCCATGGCAAGGGGGGTTTGAACTAGATGATCCCGTCCAACCCAAATCATTCTGTGATTCTATGAATTTCCCCACTGGTATATTCAGCTGCATTGTACTTTTTTATTTTACACATACAATAACGGGCAACTGTAACTGTGCTTCAGCTAGCACAAGTAACTACCAACTAGATTTCTCAAACCACTGATTTCCTGTTTTGCATAATTATACTGCCTTTATACTACAAATGATTTTTCATAAGTGGTGATGCTGTAGCAGAAAAGAAGCAATAAACCTCACTGATGTCAGTCCATCCTGGAGTCATAGTAATGTCTGTTGGTATGGCCTTGGGAAAGTAGTAGTGCATCAGCAGTATTACACAAGATGTCAAACTGGTTTGTCTGTATGATTTGGTAAATTCTTTCATGTGTAATAACATTGCTATTTTAATAGTTTTACTAGAATGACTCCAACCTGGAAACAGGGTAATTTTCTGTATTGGTGTTGCTTTTACACTTGCTGCTGCTGCTCTTATGTGCAAGAAGCTGGTAGGGTTTGGGGAAGCATAGTTTTGACTGTATCCTCATTTATTCGGCTTAAAGAGCCTGTATCAAATCTATGGAGAGAAACAGTGAAATAGAAGGAGCTCCATGGGATACCTCCCAGGGCATTTTTCATGGGAGGGCTGTTCTGAGGGATGCCTCAGCCCAGTCAAATCGGGGTCCTGGGTGTTGTCATGAGCTCAGCTGGTACTGAGAGGCCACAGGTTAAGTGTCAGAGGAAATGCTGCAGCATAGTCACTGTGCAAGAATATTAGAGCTCCTTTGCACCTCCAGAGGAATGTACATTAAGTGAGATGCCTGAGGCATACAGAGGCAGGCACACAGGAAGGTGAAAAGTATATTCAAGCTTGAGGACCTTTCATATACATGAAAGGTTCTGGGAAGAGTGGGGCAAGCAATACATGAGAGTCCTACACTTAAGGTGGTGGTGGGATAGCCTACAGGAGGATCCCACTGCAAAGCATGATATATCAAAGTCAGAAGTAAGAAAGTTGTGAGGTGGATGAATTAGGCTCTCATTTGTCTGAAATAGACAATACAGTGTACTAATGTCTATTTGATTTTATCTAAAATATTCTGTTTGATACTGCAGCACTGAAAACAGTGACTCACCACAGAACTACTGCACACCCTGGAGCTTCATCTTTGAGGCACACAGAGATCTGCCTTTGTGCAACCCAACATTTCTAGTGGGAGTGAGCTTGCTGCAGGTGCATCTTAGAATCTGTCCTCAAGATTTTCCATCCAGGACATCAGCAGGTAAATCCTGGCTTCACTCCCTTAATGGGTAAACACCCATTTCTCAAAGAGATGCAGCAAATCAGTAAAATTCAACGAAAATACAACATTGAAAGCCTGGGAGAGAAATGCCTGAAATGTTTATGGTCTGCTCAGTGTGGGAGGGACACTCTTTTGCTTCATCTATAGACACAGACCATTATGATCAAAAGGCAGCTTTCAGGCAAAGGGACCAAGCTCCAGTTACTACTTTGGGAAGAGTCTGGCAAAAAACTTCATTGATGAAAAGACTGAGCAAGCCCTGGCAGCACATGATCAGCAGTTTGAGTGCTGTCATGAAAAGCTTGCTGCCCTGGAAACCTTCTCACACCAAATCAGACAAATGCAACGGCATAGTGATCTTATTCAGTTGCTGGAGGTTGTAATGTATGGTCTCTTTCTACCTCTTATCCTCACAGTCCCTGGTAAACTTCTCTAGTGATCTCCTCTGTAGATCCTTCTGTATGTAAGCAGCATCTTTCTCACTGCTTTTTAATCATGTTTTTGTTGGTATTCTGGTGATCCAGTTTGGTTCCTGATCTTTGAGCTGTTACGGGTTCCTGCTGTGGCATTGATTTCAGGACTGCATGAAATTCATGTTGATTTTAAGCATATATTGAGCAGGGTTATACATGTCTCTTAATCTTAAAGACAAACATTGTATCAGGTATTTCTTTGTGCATTGTATTATGAAGGTCTGAGGAAAGGCAGCTCTCTTGGGAACCTTAGGAAAAAGGCTAATTTGTCTTATTTCTTTAATCGCAAGTGATCCTAATCACCCTAAGCAATAACCATCATTTTACTAGAGGGGGCAGTGTTTTTCTTTTTGCCTACAGATAAATATCAGCCTCTCTTTCCTAATTATCTTCACCTTCATTGGGAAGGGTGTGTTGCCAAGCGCTTATGCCCTGACACAAGCCAAAGTATACCATTCTTCATGGGAAGGCCTGTGGTGTCTTTTTACATCCTTGCAATTTAGCAGACTTGAGAGTTTGCACTGTTGTGAATGATATGGCCCTGGCATTCAGCAGTGTGTGCTAGCAACATATCTCCATGTGGGAAGCTGCTCTTTCATGGTTTTAGAGAGATTTTTTGTTGGGGAGGTTGGATTCTATTCTTTAGATTTCTTTTAAAATTTAGTGGTTTAATTTTCCCATTGTTCAGATTTCCTACAAAGGGTCCTAACCAGATTAAACTCATTCCCATCTTGGAGTGTCCTGGAGGGCCCTGTTTGAAGCATGACTGCTGGGTTCTTCATCTCTGGGGTAGTCTGACTAACAGGAGGAGCTAATGGACAGGCTAATGAGCTAAGGCAGGCTTAACATTGCAAGGCTTGACTGTTATGGCCCATATGTTTAACTAGTGATGGAGTTGTCCTTGCTCTGTGGTGTATGGAGCTGGGAGGGAAGAGTCCATTCATGTCACTGTCTCTAATAATTTGGGAATTTGGCTTTCTGTCCTCCAAAATATACAGAACTTGAGAAGGAAATGCAGGAACCCACATGACTGTTAGAACAGTGGCATCCAATAACTCTCTTATTTGAGCACATACTTAACCGTTATAAGCACTTCGTGACAGTTCTTCAGTCCATTCTACAGAAACCAGTAAAAGCCTGGTTTAAAGAAGGTCCTTGTGAGAGTGCTCTGAATTTTGTTTTCTCTTTCTCTCCTGTTAAATAGTGTGATCTGTAAGTAAGAACAGGACTTTTTAGCAAATCATCTGAAGAAAATAGCAGCTTTTCAGGCATGGATACTGTTCTCTGATGGCATTGGTGTAATGTTGCTGCAGCAATGGTGATTTAGAGGTTTCTTTTTCAGCTCTGAATATGGCCTTTTATGCTTTAAAGTTTGTCTGCTGCTTTTTTACAGCTCTATCAGTAATTTCAATACAGCTTACTTTTTCCTGCAGAGCTTATCTTGCTTATATCCCTAGACCATCACACCCACAGAACATAGCTGTTCTCTCCTTTCAGACACTGTTGTGTATAAGTGCTCTTGCAGGACATCTGGCAGGCATGGAACACCAGGTACCTGTAAAATTTGAAAGCTTTTTCTAGTTGATGTACCTGGTGATCTTTCTGTCTCAGGCAGTCTGAAAATTTCTCTGGGTTTTGGTACTGTATAGGTTCATTAACATGTTCTGCTTAGAGCTCCTTTTGTCTTTGAGCTGGTATTTCATCTGTAAGTGACCTTTGGCATGATTAAGGCAAGGATTTTCCTAATGGGATGCAGAGCCACGAAGCCAAATAACCATGCTGATTGTTGAGTTACAGGAGAGCAGGGCAACACCAGCCAACACATTGCACTCAGCTACCTTTTAATAATCCCATTTTCTGTGAGCTGCCAGCAAGAACAGTACAGCAGAGTGCTGGGAAAAATGGTCAGACCAGATCTGAAAGGCTACTGCAAGATATGTGGACAATTGCTAGATGGTACCATGCAGATGCTCTGTAGATAGTGTCTGCAATTGTCTTCAGCTGCCTGACTCTTCTCATCTGATAAAGGGATGCTTTTTGAGAAATGGGAGTTACTTACTTGGGGTTGTGCTTGATTGTGTAGTTCCCTGGCAACTTGGGATCCAACATCTCCATGCTATCCAAAGAGCATAAGGTCGACAGTATAGAGTGAGTAGCCCTTCCCCAGCAAAAGTAACACAGTTCGTCCCATGAAATTGGGAAGCGGAGTGTGACAGTATGTCCTTTCACAGGACATGGGTGAAATTCACAAAGACACAAAACACAAATACCTTGTCCATCAAAATTGACCATTGTGTTTTATTTTTAAAATTTTCTTGACAGTATAGCCATGTTCTTCCACTGGCAGACCCCCTAACTGTCCCTTTTCATCTCTGCCCAGACATTTTCAGTAGCCTTAATGCCACTGCAAAGAAGGAGCCAGGAACAGTGTTGAAGACCGTGTCTCCTGTTGATCAGTTGCTTTTCTTAAAACATAAGTATGGTTGAACAAAAGTTAGAAGCATTCTGAACACTTATGGCTCAATCACTGAAACAGTCAATGTGTGCTGCCACTATCTTAAAACAGTATCTTAAAAAGGTTCTGATGTTTACAGCGTTTGTGAGGAACAAGTGCTCAGCACTGCCTGAAAGTCGTTAACCTTTTCCATACCTCAGTTTGTGAAAGAAATTTTACTTCTGTCTATGAAATCTTGATTGTTTGTTTTTATTCAAAACTGCCAGTGTGTGAATCAGCTAGTGGCTAATTTACTTTTTGAAGACTTTTCTGTTCTCCAGGTCATTGTGGTCTGTCTTTAATTATATGTCTGTCATGTAATGTGTTAAGGGTCAATCTATAGGTGATCCTCTTTCCTCTAGTGTTGGTAAGAAAGATGTACAGTGAATTGTTTCATCTCTTTGATGGGAAGCTAATGGACATTTCTGTGGCCTGCAACAGATGAGGGCTGTAGCTGTTTTTAATCTCAAAAATGTAACATTCCCTATTATCATAGTACCTGGTGGCAAAGGCCTGTTGTAAAACGAGGTCTGTTTTCTGGCCTGGATCCAGCCCAGTGAAGGCCATGGCGTGACCAAGTGAACACTTGACTTCTGGATGTTATCCAGAGACAGTACTGTACTGTTATGTGCACAGGGTTATGTGCTGTCCCTTCACCTATAGGTTGTTGTGTTCTGAGAGGCATATTTTTCAGTGTTGTTACCTTACCTTGTTTCTGTGCTCTCCTGAGTGAGCTTGTAAATCCAAACCCTGCAACTTTTTCATTCCAAACAGGTTATCCCAACTGGAGATGAGCAAACAGGTGTTTCACTTGCAAAAGTAGCAGGTGTTAAATCAAGAATGCAACAAGCAAAGTCTATCTTATTGGCTGTGATGTCATGGGTCTTTTACCACTTGTGTCATTTCTGTGCTGCAGAATCCAGACCATCAGTCACTTTGTAACCAAAACTTGTTAAGGTGGTGGGACAGCCAGTTCAGATAACTGAGCACTTGCTACTAAGCAAGCACTTCAGTGGCAATTGGCTGTCAGTGAACAAGGCTCCTGAGTTGTATGAATGCTGCTCTGTATCTGCTTCAGGCTGCCTCTTGATGGATTCAAGAAGAAAGCACTGTGTTTGCTTCACATGTGAGCAGTCACTTTAAGGACTGAGAAGACTTTTTCAATTCTGTAAAAGCTAAATATGACAAACCACCTCATTAAGAATGATGTGCAGCTGCTCATAGGCAAGTGAAATTGACAAACCTTGGTCATAAGTATTTGGACTTAAAGTCACTTGGTATTCTCATTACTTAGGAAAATTGGAAGAATTGCAGTCCTCCAACAATCCAAACAACTCTAGCTATTTTGCATTATTTTTCTAGTCAAATTCACATTTATGCTTCCAAACATCAGCACCTGGATGCAGTTCAGTCCTTGAGGTTTTGTCCTTTTTTTAAAGCAATGGAGGTGTTTCCATTTGCTTGTGTCATGGTTTGATCCTGGTCGGCAGCCAACCACCCCACAGCACCCCCACCTGGGAATGGAGGAGGGAAGTGGAGGGGTAAAGGGAGACTCACAGGTTGAGATAGAAACAGTTTAATAATGGTAATAAAATGAAAACAATGACAGCAATAGAAAATATAAATGGGCAATGGCAATGCACGATGTAATTGCTCACCACCTGCTGACCAAACCCAGCCTGTTCCCAGCTAGCGACCCCGAGATACCAAGATCCCGCAATCGCAATCCTGGAAGTGAGAGAGAACCTTCCCAACCACCCCTCCTCTATATAGTGAGCACGACGTTACATGATATGGAATATTTCATTGGCCAGTTTGGGTCTGGAGCTCAGGCCGTGCTCCCTCTCTGCTGCTTGTGCACTTGCACATGGGCAGGACAAGGGGAGTTGGAGAGTCCTTGAAATCTCAGTAGCAGCTGAAAACGTCGGTGTGCTATCAGCATTCTTCTCATACCAAACCCAATGCTAAATCTAAAACACAGCACTATTCTATTTACCAAAAAAAGAACATTAACTCTATTCCAGCACAAACCAGGACAGCTTGAGATTAGATTTAGTAGTTATGCATTTTATGAAAATCTAGATTTTCAGGTAAATTTGACTGACAGCCATCAATACTTATTTGCACAGCTTTTCATGTGCTTACTGGGAAAAGCAGACACTGAAACTAGGTCTTTTAAATTATCCCTATTTTAAGTGTCTTTTGGACTTGGTGTCACCTGTGTTCTGTACAAACTTAGTGTCCCCATTGTTTACTTGCTGGAAGTGACTTGGAACAAAGACTCAGTCATGAATGACAGTCAGTCATTTAGAAGGTAGCATCCTGTAGCATGCTGCTTTAACTGCATGAGTAATTCCTGTTTCCTGTCTTTTGTCACCAACTACATGCACAGATGTGACTTAGGACCTATTCAGACCACATGAATGACAATACTAGCTTTTCTGGCTGAAGTGTAGCAGAGATCACAACAATAATATGTTGAATGTGTGAAATATACCCCTGTAGTTGTATGCTTTTGCAAGTTTTAACATGATTTACAGACATAATACTAAAATTAAAATCAAAGGCTTTCTGTTTGGAAAATGGTGATGCTTCAATTAACACTTACTGCATGTACAGTGCTACGCACTTCTCCATTTTATTGCAGTATACACGTGCAGATTGCAGGGGGCAGAATATCAGCAGTGGGCTCTCTAGCACCGTAACTTTTATTTCATGCATCAGCAATTCTCTCCACATGTCTTTGCCTCAGACAAAGCAACTGTTTCATTTCTGGTACCCAGATATTCACAGTGATGCTATCCACATGAAAGTGATCTGTTAGTTAGGCTCTGTGTGTAAAACAACTGATCACAGTGCATCACTGGTTCCTGTATTTTAAACATAGCTGATGTTAGGGGCCACAGCAAGGCAAGGAGGGGGTGTGGAGTCCAGCTGTATCTTAGTTGTAAAGCATGTCTACAACTTTCTTTTCTGAAACTTTACAAAGTGTAAAGAGTGGACCCTGACTTATTGCAAGATGTCTATTCTCTTTTGTGGACATTGTAATAGGCCACAGTGCTGATGCTCTTTCACATACAATTGTAGGAGACCTTAGAATCATAGAATGGTTTGGACTGGAAGGTACACTAAAGATCATCTAGTTCCAACTCCCCTGCCATGGGCAGGGACACCTTCCACTAGACCAGGTTGCTGAAAGCCCCATCCAACCTGACTTGGAATACTTGCAGGGAGGGGGCAGGTTGGATGACCTTACTTTGCCTTCCCTGCTTATGGCAGGAAATTATGGGAGAGTAACAGAGGGCCAAGAGAGAATGCAGTGGAGTGGTTTACACATTGCTCTGATGTCAGAGGGGAGGATTCCAGCCTGAATGAAAACATCTTCTGAGATTTAGACAATGGAATATGCCAGCTATTCCAGACTAGACACATTTAATTTATGGGAAAGGGTTCTATATGAGAACACAGGAGAGGAAATAGCAACAAAGTGAGCGACAGATTAATTCTGTTGCAAAGGCAGATTTCTCTCATACAATAACCTTTCATTGCTAAGTTCAACACCAAAGGAACAATGAAAATATTGAAGTTCTTGTTTCAATGTGTCTGTTGCCCTGTTTTGTGTTTATTTAGTACTATGCTGCTTGTAAAGCAAAGTGAAAGACTGTGAGAGACAGATCTCTAGGAGATCACCAGTCTAAACATGTAGTTCAGATATGCAGTACTGCAGAGAAATCAAAGCAGTCTGGATTTTTAAATATTGTAAACACTTGTTTCCCTAACTTTAATTTAAAAAGGCATTTACCCACTCTGTAAAGCAGCTTCAGTATGTTAAGTGTGTTTGTCATCTGGCATTTAAAACTACTAAGCTTCAAAGTTTATCTAGGCTAAGATTAAATTCATGTATTAGGAAAAATTCCTTCACTGAAAGGTTTATGAAGCATCGGAACAGGCTGCCAAGGGAAGTGGTTGTCACCATCCCTGGAGGTATTTGAAAGGTATGTAGATGTGGTACTTAGGGACATGGTTTAGTGGTGGACTTGGACATGGTTTAGTGCTAGGTTAATGGTTGGATATGATGATCTTAACGGTCCAACCTAAACAATTCTATGATTCTAAACCAAAAGAGCTGTGAACTGAGGTGATTGCAAGTATACTATTGAAGTCACTGCAAGTATACTGCCATTGAGTTCTTGACTGGATGTTTTGTTATACTTTCTTTTCTTCACTTACAAGAAAAAGTAGATGTGCTCATTATTTGGAATAGTTTCAAGATACATGTTAAGTTTACATTTCATCAGCAGTACTCTAGACAGTACTGTAATTCATGACAACATATGTTCTTTTAGTAGGTACCCAACTTTGGCACTGCTTTTATCAGGCTTGACAGAAAGAGTGAAGATTGTTTAAGGATGCCAGATTCTGTTTTCAGAGGGAGCATCTCGGTTATTTCTAGAACATGATATCAGAAAACACATGCTAACCCAGTAAATTACTGAGATAGAGTACATTATGAAAAGTTTTGTGAGACATGCAGTAATTCAATATTAAAATTGTAGGACATTCAATATTAAAATTGTAGTATCTTCAGAGAAAAATCTCACCTTACAAATCCTGTAGCTTTTTGACCTGTCTTGTGTGATTGTGTAATTTCAAACTTGTTTAATTTGATTATAGATTTTTTTTTTTCTGGCTTTGTGATTTCCAGTCCTGCAATAGCTGGTAAAAATATTCTAAGCTGCTGCTGTATAAGACAGTAATTTCTAGGCTGTAGTTTTAGATTGTGATTTTTCTTTTCTAAATGTCAGGTTAGGTGAACTACTATAAACCCTCTGGGAGTCAGTAAATTGTTCCTTTGCAATTTACACAATTCTGTTGCTCACAGCTGTGGTGCCTCTATAAGAAACAGACTCCTAGTGCATCTTCAAATGGGATTTCAGTGGAATGGGATCTCACAACTCAAGAGTCTGCTCCAGTGCTCTCTAAAATCCTTAGGCTGTAATCCCACCAAGTCTCCAACTATTCTGCATAAAGCAGAAGCTCTCAGTTTTTGTTCCGTTCCTACCTGTATTTATCTTGCCATTTATGAACCATGCATATACTGACTTACATACATTATTTGTCTTTTATTGACCTGCTTTAAAGCCTATGCAACTTTAAAGCATTGGTGCATGTAAATAGTGCAATGTTTTCTATTAAAACTGTCAGATTTACCCTTGAAAAACTGCAGGTTCCAAGACACTGCCAGTTGTGGGCCCCTTTTCAGGTGTTTTATAATTTGGACGTCTTTCAAGAGTCATGATAAACATAGTAAGATTTTTATGCTTTTGATTGCAGATGCAAGATCACCAACATAGGAATATGACAGCCTTCACCCAAGGCTGAAATTGACTGATGATTGTCTTGTAGTAAACTTTAATTGGTGGAGGATATTTTACCCTTGTTGTCCCCAGAGATTCAATAAATTATGGCAAGCGATGAGCAGAGATGCATTCCTCTCTGGGAGCCATTACTGGGAAGTTGACCTCCTCATGCTGGAGCAGGATGGTGGATTGGCACAGCCTACCCTTCCATTGGCAGGAAAGGAGACTGAAGCCTGTTGACTGGGCTGGAACAGAGCATCTTGGTGCCTTAAGAAGTTTGATTTTGAATACTGGGCATTTCACAAGTGTGAGAGAATCCCCATCCTGATAGAAGATGATCCTGATCACATTGGCGTTTTTCTGGATTATGAAGCAGGAATCCTTTCATTCTACAATGTTACTGATGGCATGGCTCATTTGCACAACTTCCACTGCAAGTTCTCAAAACCAGTTTACCCAGCCTTGAAGATGTGAGAATGGTCCATTGGAATATGTAAACATAAGAATAAAGCAAAATAAAGCTTACTATTTCATGCTTTCTCTATGAAAGCTACTTTAGCAATGATCTACATGAATTAATCTCTGTCATATGAAAGTTGTAACTGTGATGCTTTTAGAATGTAACAATTAAGTTCAAGAAAACCAACTGTAATTTTTAATGTGTATGCATTTTTCAATGGGAGAAAGTGATCTTTTACAAATTACGTCAATGTACTACCTAAAGTGCCATATATAATATTTTTTGTACTTTTTTTGCCTTGCAAAATGGAAAAAGTCTGGTTGAAAGAATATTACAACATGGATTTGAACCTGGATATTGCCATCTTTTTTTTATGAAGTCCCACCCCTCATCTGACTGGAGTGGCTGTAATTATATATGGTAATAGGTTTAATTTGGTTCAAGCTTCAAGTTCATATATCGCATACTGTTATAGTTGACAAGGTCAGATTTGGATAATAAATGCACTGAGTGAATTAGCTCATACTTAGGTATCATCTCTGGAAAATCAATGGCACACAACAACTGTTGGAAAGGTCCCTTCAAGTAAAGCTGAAGTAGGAGCTTCTGTAGCCACACTTAGTATCCATTAGCTGGCCTTACTTGTGACAGAGACTCTGAACTGGACTTCAGGGGGTCCTGTTCTTCCCATACAGAGTAGAAGTATAAGAACCAGTTGTGTACCACCCCCAACAGAAGATGAAATGCCTAGAGGACCCACAGGTGCAGTAAAAACACTATGTCAATGGGGCATTTGTGTTTAATTTATTTTTGTGTAATATTTGTAAAGGCCCTATCACTACAGCTGCATAAAAGTATGCTCACATGAAACTAGGATAGGCAGCTTACAAGTTTTTGTATAGGGATGGAGTAATTTTTTTTTCCCAAAACATTAATTAAAGTCCTAGAAATTTCTGGACCGTATGTTTACAGCAGCCTCTAGGACCAGCCCCTGTTGGACTGAAGAACCACTGCTACTTGAAACAGGTCAGGTAATCTCATGGAATTACCACCAGTGCTGGCACAGGTGAAGTCTGACCATAGGCTGAAATGCAGAAACAAGAGCTTGTTTTATAAGCTAAATTTACTTTTCAAATTTGAAATCAAAACAAAAAAAAAAAAATTCTTTTTAACAGTTGAGTAGTTTTTTAATGAAAGGCAAGCATAATGCAATCAACCAGAGCTCACATATGGTCAAGCACATGACTCAAAGAATCTATTCTTCCCACTTTAAAGATACGAATAGTTTCCTCAGAATTGTAGAAGGCTAAACATTTTGAAAGCAAACAGCTTGCAGGTACAGAAACACCACCATCAAATTTAAGATAGTTCACCAACTCATGACCAAGATGTAGCAAGTTCCAAATAACCATCACTAGTAAATGATTCCACCACAGAAAAAATGCAGATGAATTATACCAAAGCAGTTCTGTGCTAGTGAAACTAATTGAGGGACGCCTGGTTTGCAGCTGCTGCCATATGGCTCCTTCCTGGACAAAAGGAAGAGCAGCAGGCTGACAGGAGTGGGATTGCGTTTATCACCTGAAAAGTAAGAAGCTATCATGCAAGGGCAGAACGCACAAGAGGAGCACAGACCACCATGCTGAAGCACAGTGATGTGATCTAGTCAAGCAGCCAGCCTCAGCTGTCTCAAACACTAATGTCAGGGGAGAAAACCCAACCCAATGTAATTGCTTGTTAGTACAGGAAGGAGACTGCTGAATCTTCACCAGCATTTGGCTTTCTACCTGAAAAATTGCCCCGTGGTACAAATAGAGGTACCCAAACTGCAGAACTGATTTACAATTCCCGGCTTCACTCAGCTCATAACAGATGCTTTTGACGTGTTTTTGAAACATAGGTTAAGTTTATTTCCACTGATTCACCTCAGATCTACTTTTTCTCCCGCTTAATCTGTCTGGCTTGCCCTCTTGGTTTTCAGTTCACAAAGAGTACAAAAAGGCTTTCTCCTAAATGGGATCTTTCTATATATCAAATTTGCTTCCTTTCTCAGTACTATCTCTTGAGAACCTAGTTTTCTCAAATTCATCTTCCACACAGTGCAGATTCCTGCAACCCACTGCTTTATCTTGAGACTTTTTATGTTAAGGCTTTCATCTTGAGAAAAATCCATGAAGTTCCACGCGTAGTTTTCTGTTCAGTGTATGTAAACTTTCACTTACCTAATTCAACTACAACTAGCATCCTGTTATCACAGGGGTGAGGAAAAAAGCAGAATAGAGGAACGTCAAGATACAGAGTTAGAACAATTCAAAGTGTAGACAAAATTATTGTGATTTACTGTACTCTTGCCAGAAAAGGGAAGTTGGAAAGCATCAGACTGTGGTTTTAGATTTTGCAAAACTCCAAATTAATCTAGGTGAACTGAAATGAAGGAAGGAGGAACATGGTATTTTCTAGACACAAATCTATTCAATTTCTAATAAAATTGCTCTTCATAATTCATGTACACTTGCTGCTTCCTTTAGCAATTTTCCTGCTAATGAGAACCTGAAAATTCTAGCCTGCTTAAATGCTCATAATTACACCCCTTTCTTCTAATCCACCATGCTGGTATACTTAAATATGTTGTGCAGTACATCATGAAATATGGAATGGAGTGCTTGGGTTTAGCACTTCAGTTTTTTGACATGAGTTCCCACTGCTTCCTCAGTGATGGTTTCATCTTCTTCAATATTTTTTTTAACCTTCTGGCCCACCAGATCAAAGATGGCTTCTGGGGGAAATCCCTTAGGCTCTCCCACCTTCACTGTCAGCATGTCAAGTGTCAGTACTGTACCTTCAGGAATTGTCACTTTTGCCACAACAGACTTTCCTAGCTATAGAAGAGAAATAAAAAATAATTAAAAAAAAAAAAGTCAAACACATTCCTAGGCTTAGTATACCAAAAAAGGGTAAAAAATATTCTGCAGTTACTTGGGAACAGGTTGTGTGAAACTGACCTCCCCATTACTACTTAATCTAAATGAAGGTTGAGTTAGCAGGGAAACCTTCACTGTAACCAGGCTGCTGGGAGCATCCACATCCTTTCTGAAACTGGATAACGGCTCAGTGAAATTTTTCAGAATCCAAATGGAGAGAATCTGATTAGACCGACTAGTTTTCTAGCTTAGAGTAAAAGCTGCTCATATACAGTCATAGAAACCCATTACTCTTATCACTATTACAGAGTACTTTGTACTCGGCACTGGTGAGGCCACACCTCAGATACTGTGTTCAGTTTTTGGCCCCTTACTACAAGAAAGCCACTGAGGTGCTGGAGCGCATCCAAAGTAGAGTAACAAAGCTGGTGCAGGTCTAGAGCACAAGTCTTCCCAGAAGCAGCTGAGGGAATTGGGGTTGTTCAGTCTGGAGAAAAGGAGGAGACATCACTCTCTACAACTACCTGAAGGGAGGTAGTAGCTAGATGTGTGTCAGTCTCCCAAGTAACAAGCAATAGGACATGAGAAAATGACCTCAAGTTACACCAGGGGAGGTTTAGATTGGATGTTAGGAAAAATTTCTTCACCAAAAGGTTTGTCAAGCACTGGAACAGGCTGCCCAGGGAAGTGGTTGAGTCACTGTCCCTGGAGGTATTTTAAAAATGTGTAGATGTGGCACTTAGGGACATGGTTTCATGGTGGACTTGGTAGTGTTAGGTTAATGGTTGGAGTCAATGATCTTAAGGGTCCTTTCCAACCTAAATGTTTCTACGATTCTACTCAACTTAAGTTAACCACTGAATAATATACATAAAACTCCATTATATTCAAAATTTGCCAACATTGTGCTTCACTAAAAGTTGTTACTGAGTGCCAGAAATAGCATTTTAAAGAAAATGACAGGTCTACATTAACATTACAGTGGGCTAAGCACAAAGACTGTGCAGCAGAATACTTTGCAGCAGAAATTTTTAAGTGCAGAGGCAGAAACACTACTGCAAATAAAAATTAGTAAGCTATTTTTCTGAATATAGTTATTAGCTAAATGAGTTTCATCTATACATGAATCAAAAGCAAGTTACCTTTTCATTGCAAGCCATTTCACAGGGCAAGAGTTGCTTGACTGGAGAACCCATTGCTTTTTCCACAGTACGGATGGCTTTCACTAACTCTGCCAGTTCATTTGGTTCCAGGGATGCTTGGTGGTCACTTCCTTTCCATGTTTTGTCAAGAGTCACATGGCGTTCCACTACTTTAGCACCCATAGCAACAGCTGCCACTGAAATGGCGACACCAGTTTCATGCCCCGAATAGCCAATGGGGATATCAGGAAAAGCTGACTGATATGCCTTAAATCATGACAGAGTTGGTCTGATTTAGCAAGGTAGCAATTTAAACGACAAAGCAAATTTAACAGTGATAACTGCAATAAAATCCATGGAAAATTACTGTGCCACAAAACAAGCAGTTGGTTATACTAAGAACAAAACTTTTTCTACATTCAAGACATCACACTGCACTAGCAACTGTCATGTTTTAAGAATTTCACTAGGATTATCAATACTGACAAGGAAAAGGAGGTATGCTCTGTTCTACAACTTCTCTTATGCTTTTTCTTTTAATTCAGTTGTACTCTTCAAGGTCTTCAAAGCCTACATCACTGTAAATTACAATAATAGAGTAGTGCTCTATTTTCATTCAAGAACCCAGTGGACTGATTAAACTTAACCTGTATACAAAGCAGATTTCTTCAACCTCATATTTAAAACCTTGAACACTGGCCAACTTGGGAAAACTTTCTTGCATCATTATTGAGCATATCCAACTAACATTTACAGTGAAGGAAACTACAAGGGTCTAATCTATCTTTCATTGCTCTGATACTCATATGAAGCATTTTTAACAGAAGTTTCTGGTCTAGATCCCTCTTTAGAATTATGTTCTCAATTCTATGCACCTTCTTAATGGTAACAATCTACACAATTTTTCTTTGCACTACAAAGCACAGGGTTAACCTGCTAACCATGTGCCATATTTTCCATGTGTCATGTTTAATTGTGAATACTCCAGTAATATCCTTTACCATATTCCTCAAAGCTGAGTTCTGATAAAAGAGGATCCACTGGATATTTTTATTTCAACACTTGGATGCATTAGAAAAATGTAATACATCTTCTAGCTTCTCAGAAGCAAATTCCAACATGCCTAAGATCTAGAAATACATCTCAATAAAAGTGAATAGCCCTTCTCTAGTACCCTGACCATGGCACACACTCTGCGTTACTCACTGACCGATATAACACGGAGATTGACATCCTCTGGCTGAAGTGGGTATGCACTGGTGCATTGCAGGAAGCAGAAGTTTGGATTGATGGGCTTCACAATGTGATAAACCTGATGCATTGTGCTCATTGACTGCATCCCGCTGGAAATCACCATTGGGCGACCTAGCCATTAGAAAACATGTACATGTTCTGTCTTAGGTCTGTAAGAAAGCTTCACAAGATTAAACTCCTGAAGTAAATTAATTCAGTAAAACTAGGAAAGGAAGATGGGTGAACCTTTTTTTCCCAAGTCTGAAGGTGATTTTTTTCTAAAGGTACTTCAGATTTTTTTCCAAAAATCAATTGGAGGAAAGATCTAGTAACTGATATACTGACACAGTGATATTTACAAAGATGTCTCAAAAGAAATTGCTTACCTTTCTTTGCAGTCCTTTCCAAATATGGAAAATTGTTTGTATCTCCCGATCCTACTTTGAAAAATGGGACACCCAGTTCATGTAGAAATTCCACAGCCATCTACAAGGAAATCACTGCATTTTAACACTCCACTTCAGCTGGATCAAAGATAAAGAACTACTGTGCTAAAAAATAAGCAACCCTTCAAAATGGCAAAACCAAAGCTTTATTAAATAGATGATATCCCCCAAATACACTGCTCCTGAAATAACATAGGTTTCTGACTTAGCTACTTAGTACATGTGAGTTCCACTGCTCCTCTAACTTCAACATGAGCTTGTGGAGCATAGGATTCTTGCTTTTTGTTTTGTGGCACTACCAGAATGGTTAACTACCTGCAGGTGGGAGCTTGCCTGTTGAAGAAGAAATGTACTGCAGGCACGCAGGCAGTCTTCCTGCAACATCCCTCCTGCAGGTCAGAAATATTAAACCACAGAGTGTTTAAAACTACAGGTAGTTTTCCTGAATAGATCTGTCACTCTGAAAATATGTATGAGTATCTTGAATACACCTGAAAAAAAAGTAAGTGCCCAAAAAAAGAAGTCCAAAATGCATTTGTTTCTAGGAGAGATATTTGACATATTTTATATTTATTTTCTAAGACCATAAAACAGTTTATTCAAATGTTAGTTATATTCTCTTCTTCTAAAAATGCGTGTGCTATAATGAAGACAATTCAGGAATTATTGGAGGCTCCATGAATATCAGTATTGCATCAGTAAGTGGCCTTTTAAAAATTAGTACTTTTGAGGAAGAAAATTCCAAAGCTATCACAGACAAGAGATATTGAAATCTTCCATTCACATCCAGAGGAAACAATGAAATAGTTACCTAACTTTGTCCCCCTTCAACTACCCACAAACACTTTTAATTTCTTTAGCCCACTCCTTGTTGCAGTCAAATTTACTTAGTGCCAAAGACTGTTAATGTCTAGAAGAGAATCACATCTTCTTCAGGCTATTATTTCTATCACCATTATGATGCAGATTCAATTTCTTGTATCTAGGATGCATAACATCTTTTTAATATAGTTTATTCACAAAGATGCATTGTGCATGAAGACAATGAATACACTATATTGAACAGCCACAGATCTAATCTGAGGAGACTACACAAAATGCATTATGACAGAGCTCCTATCTAAGGCCACTCTTCATTAGGCAAGTATCTATTGAAAATTAGGAGCTTTTCTGTAAGAGATTCAAGGAATAGGAAGTAATCTCAAATAATAGGGATTACATTAAATGGAGTAGTTTAATAGGATCCTGTTTTGTCTCCCGTACACACTGGAACAGAGTAGACAAAGGAGTTACTCATAACCTTTATATTTACTTCACACATCACTTCATTGATTTCTTCATATAGTTAAACACACAATTTAACCTTTCTGACACAGCTGGAGTTCCAGAGAATATGTTCAATTTACAGAAGTTAACATATTCTCAAGGACTTGTTACATCAATTTATGCAATGTTTGCCCTAAATTCCAAATCCATGTCTTGCAGAAATGCCACCAGAAATCTTAGGAGCTGTGCAATGTAATTACTGTTCAAAAAAGAAGGCACAGACATGTATCAGTATTGTTAATTTGCTGGTGAGGCTACACACAAAGGAGCACAGCAACTTAAGAAGAGAGATCCCAGAGGTAGAAAGTCATCTTAAGCTGCTGCATATGAAAGGTGTTCTGCATTGCAGTATATCCTTTAGAAGCTGAAGATTTTAATGTCAGAGTGTGATTGTTTCTCCCATCAAAGGCACATGGGTCTTTAAGATCCCAGATACAGAAGTCCAAGAGTATTGGATTTAATTACTATTTTCGTAAAGGAGTAGTTGTTCAGCAGGTCTCCTTGGACATGAAGATAACAATAAAAGAATCATAACACCCTCCTTTGACAGATCTATTTCTGAGTCCATGGCATCAGGCTATTGCAATACATGCAAAACAACTTCTGTCTGTCAGACATCTGAAGTGATTTTTTTATGGTATTTAGTGCTTGTACCATCTCAGCTGGGGTACAGCAATTCAAGGATTTTGATCAATAGGACAGTAAGATGATGGAAGCAGCAAGAATGGCCAGAGCACTAAAGAAGAGATCATAAAACTTTGCCTAGTCTAGAGAATACCAAACAGAAAAGAGATATGATAATGGTGTTCAGATATACAGAGAGGAGATAGAAGGAAAGTATTAACTTTTATGTCAGATGAGGCAGGACAAAAAATTATGAGAAAGGAGATGAAGCTGATACATCAGGAATATTTTCTGATGATAAAGAGAGTAAGGGACTGAACAGATCACTTTAAAACATTAAATAATCCCATCCATGTCCCATCCTGGATAAGGCTACTTGCAAAAAGACAGTGACTGCTGCTCTTGCCTTATGCAAGAGTGCTAGCTTACTTCTGGAGGGTCTCCTTCAGTTTAGTTCTCTGTATTTTCTAGGTCACAAAGAAAATTAAGACAATCTGTAATCTCCGATCTATATTGACGTTTAACTGTTACCTGATCCCTCAAGTTCGTATGTTTCGATTGTACATTGCATTTGTTAACACTGAAATTAACAACATTTTGAGGAAGGCAACCTGCAAGAGTTAGAGAAGTATACATCTCTTAAGGGGGAACAGCAGATGAGCTTCATGTTGTTTACAAGCTGGTGACAGACTGTTCAAAAGCCCACTGGCAAATATCGGTAAATGCTTCAGAAGTAACAGAGCAAGGTGGAGATCTTCATAAGATTTGTAAAAGAAAAATGAATGTAAGCATTTCTGCTGCTTAGAAACACCCACTGGGGTCTAGTAAGCAACAGGAATGAAAAAAAAAAGAGGGAAATAATAGGGATTAAGCTGAGAAAAGAATCTTGTTTAAATAGAGAGGGAAGTTTGAAATGCTTGGAGCATTTCCAGACAATACCAGATAATGGTCTTGATCTAAACTCTCAAAGCTGTGATTGTTTATAGCGGTCAACTGAGGCCTTGTCTCTAATATGATTTACTCTACATATATACCTCAACATACATGGCAAGTCTTTCAAAATGTTCAACTGTTGCAGAGACACAAGTGATCTGGCAGAACTACAATTACTCAGGTTTTCTCATTTCATTCAATATCCACACATATTTAGCATTCTTTTTATGTAAGACCTACCATGCCTAAGTAATAACAGAAAAACACAACAGCTGGACTCTGAATGTCATTCCAGTATGGCTTACATACCTCATCCATGCCAGAAGCTGTGAAGAAAATGCCAATGTCCTCTGCATATTTCTTTAGCTCTCTGTATTGTTCATGACTAAACTCCAAGTGGCGCTTGTGCTCACCATAGGTCTTTCCCCAGGAGTGTTTAGAGGTATAAGGCCTTTCTAAGGCTTTCTTGTTGAATTTGTACTCCAGCTCACTCTTCTGGAACTTTGCACAGTCTGCTCCACAGTCCTGCAAAACAAACTGGTGCAAACTGAGTGGAAGTGGAAGTGAAACTGCACTCATCCGAAGTTTGAACATAAGGATTATGCATCTAATTGCTCATTTACAGTGGAGTTTTCATATTATCATCACAGCAATCACAAGAATAGCATGAACAAAGAGTGACCGAGGACCTGCACACACAAGCCCTTTTCAAAATGCCTGTATACTTAGAGCAGCAGTCTAGAAAGAAATCTTACTAAAACTACAAAACTGAACTGCCTCTTGCTATTCATGCCACTTATTTGAAGAATTAATTTCTGTGGCATTTTCCAAGATCAGCCATCACAATAATTTTACATGAAAACGAGGGTCATAATTCTGTAGAATAACAAGTATGAATCTGAAATTTGTTTCAAGTGACACAAATGGTCAAGTTAAATTCTCGCTACACTATTTTGCACTTTTACCACAGTTGAGACGTCTGAGAGCATTATACCCTGACTTCTTCAGTGACGATATGCCATTTTCTAACATAGGTATATCTAATGTATATAATAGCAAATTTTAAAACAGCTTGACTGTCTTACCGGATGACACAAGCATTACCTCAAAAAATCTTAATGCAATCAGGTCAAATGGGATGTTCATCAGAGACAGTTCTGCAGTTACTTGGTTCTTCCCATATTCACGTTTGCTTATGGCACGGCTGAAGTACTGCTGTAAACCCTCGGAGACTATATAATCTGCCTGTGTTTGTCTGTCTATGCTCACGTGTGTGTGCCGTGAACGAGCTAGGGGCTTCCTGAAAGCCAATACCATGTGATCACAGGCTGCGAGGTACAGTCCTAAGGCTACAAAGTGAGCACCCGCGTTGTTGGCCCTCACCACAACTATCTCCTTGCAGCTACTTTATTTTTAAAATTCGTCCTGTAAATCACTCCACTCCTCCCATGCGGTGCCACTGCCCCGACACGATGCTCCCCGACCGGAGTGTCCCCCGCGGGAATGACGTAAGGCTTCACGCCCTCCCCCGGCTTTCCCGGCCCCCGCCGGTGCCCTAGGGCTCTCGGTCACCCGCACCTCTCTGCCTCCCTCACCCGAGAGTACGCCTGCCGAGCCGGCGCAGAAGGAAACGCTAAAGGAGACGGAGCAGCCCTGCTTGCCGCGGGGCCCCGCCAGCCTAGCTACGTTCCCGCCTCCCCGCCAACCGGCCCACCGGAGGCAGAGTAGTAGCACCCCGCGCGCACCTTGGCCATGCGAATCATGCGCTTGGCGATGGCCATGTCGCCCTGGTGGTTCTGCCCGATCTCTGCGATGATGAAACATGGCTGCTCGCCACCAATGTGGCGCCCAGGGCACAGCTCGAACTCCCGCGACATGATGACTTCCGCACGACCATCCGCGCACGACTACGCCGACCCTAGCAATGCCTCCGCCGAGGCCTGGGGGGGGCAGCCAATCCGCACTGCGGAGGGCGGGGCCGGGCGCCACCACCTTCCTCATTGGGCACCTCGCAGGAGGCAGGCGGGGCTGCTGAGCTTCTGCCTCCGGGCTCGCCGTGGCGCCGGACGGGTGGGAGTGCCTCTGGGAGGCGGCAGCGGGCCGGGCCTGCTGTCTTCCTGGAGGTGGACGCGCGGAAGGAGTCAGGAGAGCAGTGGTGCGGTGCGGGACGTGCGGAGCGGGACGTGCGGAGCATAAGGGCTCTCTGGATTCCGGCTGACTTTCCTGGAGTCCTTGGGAGCGCGTGCGCGTTCTGTCGAGAGCAAGTCCGGTATCTCTGGAGTGGGTCGCCGTCGGTCCCTCTGGCCGCAGGTGGCGGAGGTGTTCAGCATGGCTCTGGTGATACGCAGCCGCTGGCGGCTCCCGCTCCCCGCCCTGCCGGAGCCTCGCTATCTCGCAACAGCGGCAGTGGAGAGGGGACCGCAGCAGCGTGCCCTGGACGCCAGGAGGCGCTCGGCTGTTGTGCTTTGAACCCGGCCAGCAGCCGAACGCCACGCAGACGCTCGCTCACCCTTCCGCCGCCCCGGGGACGGGAGAGGGAATGGGAGGGTTAAAGAGAGACTCGTAGGTTGAGAGAAAAACAGGTTAATAATTGTTATAAAATAAAACAATGGCAATAGTAGAAAGTACAAACGGGTAATGCACAAGGTGATTGCTCATCACCGGCTGACTGATACCCAGCCTTTTACCAGTTAGCGATCCTCCCAAAATCCCAAGATCCCAGAGTCTCAATACAGAAAACGAGAGAAACACCACCCCCCTCCACCCCCCCCACCCCTTCCCGGCTTCCCCTTCTTTATACACTGAGCATGACATTAGATGATACGGAATATTTCATTGGCCAGTTTGGGTCTGGTGCTCTGGCTGTGCTTCCTCCCAGCTTCTTATGCATCTGCGTGAAGACAGGACATGGGAAGTTGGAAAGTCCATGATCTCTTAGCAACACCTGGAAACAACATTGTATGTTCTTTTTATACCAAATCTCATACAGAATCCAAAACACAGCACTATTCTAGCTACAAGGAAGAAAAATTAACTCTCTCCCAGCCAAAACAAGGACAGTGTGTATCTGCCCCAGGCAGTTCCTGATGGCTATTTGTTGCTTCTGAAATGCCTGCACAAATATCTCCAGCCTCTCTAAAGAAGCGTTTTTTGTGTCACAGGAATACACTTTCCCAGGAAACACAAACCAACTCTGGATGCCATACCACAAAACTTTCAATGATACACCAAAATAAATTGTTAAGTGTGCAGCAGTGTGTTTGGGTAAAGACATGGGTGGCATACCTTATGGCCCGCTTATACATCGCATCTACCGGATCTTGACAAAGCCCCACTCAGCTCAGCATGGATTTAAAACTGTGTCCAAAATAGTGGTGTTTCATTCATTTAATAACTTCAAATAGATTGTCAGAAACAAGGTACACATTACTCCTGGCCACATGGTTGCAAAAATTCCCAATTCAGCATACCCTCTCAGCTTCAGGTTTTTAAAACAAGATTTAATTTCTTATTTTATGCCGTGACAAAAAAACAGTTTATTTTTGTGTCAGAAATGGTGTTGTTTATATTAACATGGTCTGGCTTTGCACAGGTTACAGTACTGAATATAATTGAAGTACCCCTAGCAGAATCTGCTCAATATATTTACCCCCAAACTAATCACAGGTTCTTCATCTAACCTGCTTATTCTTTCCTTACACAGAAGTGCACCTTATGGAAACTAGAATTTCTATTCAGTGAAAAATTTCAAGGCTTTACACATTCTCAAGGAGGTGCTCAGCAAAAATATTTAGAATTTTCAAATCAAATTATTTGAATGGATCAGAATGTTCTAGCTGACTGCATTCTGATCTTGCGTTAAAATATAGAGATAAGCAAAGTAAGACAAAAATAAAAGTATAAAACATAAATGTACAATTCTAACAAGAATCAAATTGAGTATGTAATAATAAAAATTATTAGTTCCCTTTCCCCTGAAGCAAAATTGACTCAAAATAGGATGTATTGTTGTGGTTCCAACCAAACACCTTTGTATAAGAGAAAAAGATGGTAACAATGTTAGGCAGTGCTACACACATACACCTTCTTTCAATTTAAACTTTTGCTTTCCTTATGAACCTGCAACTTAGCTGTAAAATTTTGCCCAAGTTCACAGTTAACTTCTTCCAGAGCTTTACAGATAAATAACATTGTAATGAAAATTTGTAGGTGTGAACTAAAAAGTTGGTTGTTAAGCTTGATTAGCAAGTTTCAGAGTAAATGAAAGCAGATTCTACGGGTGAGTTATACTAACAGAATAGCTTAATGAGCAATCTGGTTGCATTTGTTGCATGTAGTGGTTTACTGACCATCACCATTGGATAATTACATTTTAACTCCAATAAATATAAAACATGAACTGTAAGTTTTAACATAATGTTATCAGTGAAGAATTAAACCAAACCAAACTGTTAGGATCACTGAGGTATTCCCCTCTTTGATAACTAAACGGCAATATCCATGTGGTGAATTAAGGTCAAAGAAAGTGGATAGTGGCTACCTGACACAGGCTGCTGGAGAGCTGCAAAGCTAGGTGTTGGTGGAATAGACTTGATCAAAAAACCTCAGAAGCTAAGAAATGGTATTGTAGATATGATAGAGATGTGTAGATGACAGGAAATTATCACCACTGGAAGCTGCTGAATGTATTATGCAAAGAGCTTGAATTACTGACTATGCCAGTTCACCTAAGCAACCAAAATCACTGGAAGATATGAGAGTCCTTACAGTCCTTTTTGTTGACCCTAGTCACTAATTCCGGATAAGACCAAAGAACACACAGAGACTAGTAGTGTTTGGCTCCTAGAATGGAAAGGAGACCGTGCCAGTGGATTTCTGGTTGTGGTGAATTCTCGTGTCCATGCGCAGCCTGGTCTCATGTTGGTGACGAAGCCAGTCCCAGACGCCAATATGGTGTGCAGAAAGCGCTCATTTATTAAGCATCAGTGATACATATTTATCTTATTTTGTGTTCCGTACACGCGCCGAGCATGCATACTACGTTGCAATTACAGGCTATTAATTATGTGTGTTAGTTTGTAATTGGTGCTGCAGGCTGACCACTCGCTGTTCACGTGCCTTAGCGGATTGGCTGCTGCTTGCCTGAGTGCGTTGCCAGCTTCTTCTTTAAGTGTTGAGCCATCACTTTTGTTTCCAAGTGTTGAACCATCACTTTTGTTTCCTTGTGTCCTTGGTTGCCTTCGTGACTCTTATCATAGCTCCTGATACAGCCACTGGGCCACATAAATCCCCACACTGGTGATCAGAGTAAGGTTAAATTTGGAAGTGAGACAGTGAGAATATCAGGAATGTTTCCACATGCTGGTGATATAAAACATAGGACTGCAGCTGTCTCAACAGTTCTGCTGCTGTAGGTCCCAATACTGTGAAAAACAAAACAAAACAACACCAAAAACAAACCCCAATCCTACTCTCAGAAAGAAGGAAAGGTGAGAAAATTGTATTTTTTTTTGTCATCTATTTGGGAAAGCTGAGTATTTCTGACCAGATGATGTTCTGCATTTATATTCAGGATGCTCTTCCTTCCTTTCCTCTTGTATTCCAAATGATGACAATGTATTAATTTTGTAATTAATTTACTATCCCAGGGGAAATTAAACTGCAACATTTTGATAGGTCATACAGCTTAGTTTTTAAAATCTAGATTTCCTATGATAAGACTAGAGAAGTATATAAAATATTTATTTGTGCCCATCCTGCACAAATGCGAAAATATATCAGAAATTTCACAAGAGATTCAAGAGAAGAGAGGTCCATTAGCACTATGGTAAGAAAACAGGTTAAAAAACTTACTGAGGTGGAAAAAAAGAAACATAATTTTCTCCTTAGAAATACCTTAATGGCCAAGAGGAGGAACATTAATTTAGCAGAGTTATATCTGTTGTTCAAATAAGCCAGGTTAAGGTTTGCTATCTCCAAGGACCTGAATATGTGTACCATAGCCTTCTGTTTTGGTACTCTTCAAAAACCAGCATGTTCAGAGATTTAGCCCCTTTTCTCAGCACTCCTGAATCCATGCATCAACTAGGCAATATGAAGGAGCTGGAGAAATAAATGTAGCTTACATATACTTCTGTGTTCTGACAAAGGCTGCTACTGAGAGGATCTTACTCCAAAATTATCCTCTGACAGACATGCAGACACATTCTGGCGTTCTGGGCCTGTCTGTGAGGTTATAATGGACCTGAAAACCAGGAATTGCATTTATTATGATTTTGTGGTACATGTTCGTTTTGTGAAGTGAAGCTGAACTGGGTCTTAAGGCTTCATCTACACACAGTATTAGCATTACATACTGTCCTTTGCACAGTTGCAGTTGTAATATAGTAAGTAATGTATTAAATCTTTTTTTTGCTGGTATTGGCTGTTCCTTCTGAGAGACTGCAGTAACAGTGACTACTTGAACACAACCACCACACTCTCAACTCTATAGCACTATGTAAGACACAGACTAAGAAATTGCCTCAATTTCAAACCAAAAAAGGCCTTGAGGAGCACTACACCATGATGCATCACTGCTGAAGTTACACACACAATGGATGCTGTCTTTTATAAAGCACTGAAACCTGTAAATGATGATGGGAAGAGGACACTGTATAAATGCTTTTTTTTTCTTTTTTTTGCTTTGTCTGCTCAAGCACTGCAGACAATATAAAAAGCAGGAATGTGTATATCCATGCAAAACCAACCAGTTCTCTAAATACAGACCAATTTGGAGGCTATTTCATAGCCTGGAAAGTTTCATGATAACTGAACACATATTAGCCATTTTTACTAGTCAATTACATTTACTACAGTCACAGGTGGGTAGAAATGCAGGCAATAGCTTACTTGAGTGCTGAACCACAGTTACAGAAAGAGACCTGAGTAAAATACATCCTAACAGAAATGCG